TCAGGGAGCGTGTCCAACCATGTGTCTTCTTGAATGAGCAATTTCAGATGTCCTGGGTATTGCCGCTGTTGTTCACCAATCTCATGTTGGTGTCCTGCGCGCCAAACCCTCGATTCCCCGTGTGCTGCAGCAAGTTGGAGGGGTCAAAGGTGTTCAGAGCCCGAGGACTACCATGCGATGCCTTCGGGATTCCCAAAGCTCAGAGAGACGTTGATCCACACAAAAAGCGCCGGAGCCAGTCCCCCATCAGGAAAATAGCACGATGGGCAGACACGGGATAAACCTCAGCTGAACGGCCCGTGCAGCACAATCGCTGGAGCAAACTCAAACACAACTTGAGCTCCAGACCATCTGATTGATGTGAGACTTGAACTTGATCTGCCAAGCGAGCTCGCTGAGTCTGGTCTTGCAAATCGAAATCAACTGCCCCACAACGATTGCTGCTGGCCCCTCAAACGATCTGAGTTGCTCCAAAAAACATGCCACCGCTGGATCCCCATGGCCCTCGAGAACCTACTTGTCCAGTGATTCATCCACCTAAACATTTGAGGTTCGAATGAGCAGCCGGGTGGAATCTTGACACTGATCTAGAATTGATGTCTTGTGTTTCCTTGCAGCTCGAATGCTTTTGGGGCTCAGGCTTGGTTCCCTTTGTTCGTTTCGGTGTTGCACCCGGCATCCACGACACCATTTCGGCTGGGAGTCGCAACTCACTTTCCCGGGCGGCCTCTGTCCAGCACTGCTGCATCTGGCGCAGCCTCTGCTTTAGGTCCTTGGCCCCGTTCCTGGCGAAGGCGAGGTTCCAAGACGCCTCTTCGGCCAAGTGCTCAAGGTGGATTTGCAGGTTCCCGAGGGCAACCAGCACGTTGCAAATCTCTCTGCAGTCTTGCGTATCGAAGACAAGTCCTCCCAAACTGAGGTCCGTGTGTCCAGCACCCCTTCTCGCCCGCCTCGCGTTGTTGGAAGTCGTCGCCGCGAGGTGGCAATTCAAAAAGCAGAAGCTGCGATCCTGCGGCCCGGGCGCCTAATTTGTTGATCCTTCAAGCATTGAGGGCCAAGCTCCCATCATCTTATCCCTCCGGGTTTGCCTTTGGTATGGGGCGTCTCTGACAACTAAGTTATCAGGCTGCAAACGGGCACAAGTAAGTGATACGGTAGCCCTCTGCTGTTGGTTGGCAGGCTACATTCCCCCCCTCACCCCCTGACACCACCCCCCCCCCCCCCCCCACAAGTCACACAAAAAAGAAGAAGAGAACTCGCAACTGGATCTGCAAAAAGTTCGGCTTGCGATTCGGCACCAGGGTCCCGGGCCCAGAGCACAAAGCGACACGCGACGGCACCCTTGGCGCCTCAGACATCGGGCTACTGCCTTGGAGAATATTGGCTCGTGATAAAGCAAAAAGATGCCTCAAACGCATAAGCGGAACTGGACTTCGGCGATATGCTGGCAAAGAGTCAAAACAAAGTCTCAGAATCACTGGTTTAGTGCAAACCTGCGGACTCGCCCAGCTGAGATCTTCGATCCTCTCAAACATCTCCTGAACCCCACGCTCCGCGCCACAAACCCGCCGAGCCGTCCGGCCAGATTTGATCCTGGGATCCATAGGCCGCTCCGCCATCCCTGGGACACGGCTTTGGTCCACGGGTTGCAAAGGATATGGGAGAAAACGTCCCCCATGTCCTCGAAAGAACCACAGTCCACAACTGGTGCTCGGTGAGTGAGGGCCCAACAAATGATGACAAATAATGCTCAAATAAAACGGCCATTGGTCAAGTTTCGACCAACCCCTTGGCTTTCACACACAGCAGACCCTATCCTGCAAGCGTCAAGAAGCCCAGGCTGCGAAACGAAGGCGGCCTATACTTTTGGACAAGCACAGACTGGTTGGAAGTATAGCAGCCTGAAAGAAAGGGGCCAAGCTGCAGTTCCTTAGCTTTCTCGGTCTATCCCTTTTACCCGCCTTCCCCTGATTGCTGGTTTGGGTGTTTGGGGATTTGCACCCCAGGCTTTTGTGGAGGCCAAATGGAAAACCTCCTCCTAATCTCTAAACCACCAATCCAAACCACCAGATAGAGGGAAGCTGATCATATGCATGGGGTGCAACAAAAGCAAGAACCCTGATGTGACTGATGTGCTTTTGCACAAAAAAAGGAAATGGCTTGCACCAGCAGAGGGCATGCTGACTGATCTCTCCTGATCAACGCGATTCACCCCCACAAGCCCGGCGCCAAAGTCGCGAATGTGCTTCAGCAGGTATGCGGGGCAAAAGACACAGAGCCTGGGCATTTGATCCTCCGCGACAAAGAGCGCACACACACACACACACACACCTCCGAACAAGGAGTTGCTTGTCGAGAAGCTATCATGCTGCAAAACTCCTGCTTTTGGTGAGTGCCGAACACCTGCTACGAGAACATAACATCCGCTACAGGCAAACCGCTTTCGTGGGTACTTTCGCAACGCTTTCGCGGCCACACACTTTCGCTACACTTTCGCGGCCACACATTTCACTTTTGCGGGCATCTGTTTTTATGGAACGCTTTCACGGAGCTTTCACGGCGGGTTTGCAAAACTGGGCCATCTACATGAAAAAGGCTTCAAAGCCTTACAAAGGAGCAGAGCAACAGGACGTGAGAATCCTTCCATTTTGGACTTCGGCTGAGCTCAAAAGGGACTTGACGCTGTGCACCATGACCGGCACAGCCTGCCTGCATGAGTTTAAAACGGGAGCCGAAATCTGTTGCGCTTTCGCGGCGGGCTCTTCTTCAACCACTTTCGCCGCGGGCTTTCGTGCCCTGCGGTTTAGCTTTCGCGAGGCCTGATTTGGAGAGCGCCTCGCAATTCAACCTTTTCATGAGGGATCTTGGCGCTTCTGAGGCGGGAACTTGTCCAAATCAAAACTCGCAGAGCTTCGGGCAAGCTCAAACCCTCTCGGAGGAGCCCGAAACCCCGAGCTCCTTTCTTCGGTCTCATAAAATTGGCATCAGACTCCCACCATGCTCCACATCTGTTTCCTTCAAGGGCCTGGGCAGGACTCCAAGAGCCTGGCAAAAGTCCGAAGAGGTACACGGGCTGCCCATACAGGACATATGCCTCAGTCGCATGTGCCATTTGAACAAATACTCCTGTCAAAATCAGTGGCTCTCTTATCTGCCCTATCGCTGCATTTGTAAGCAGGAGAATGGCCAGTCAAACAACAAGACCTCTAAGCAGGGACGTGAACCATTTCTGCGATACCGAAGTAGGCCGTTTCCATGACTACTTTGTCACGTTCAAGGGATTCCTACTTGGTCTTGGCCCTGGTGTTCTGGCTGAACTCAGGCGCAGGCTCTGTGATCATATGAACCTGACGAAAAGGCGGTGCTGCAAGCATCTCACACAGACGGCCAAAACAGGATACACAAAAAGGGCACAAACAAGCGAGCGGCTTTGTTTAGAGCCACTCTTCCGTTTGGCTTCGGGAAGCCAAGCCAACCATCAGTCGGCCGATCACTTGCTGAAGTCCAAAAGCTTGTCCCAAGCTCCGCACAAAAGCTTTTGCCCGCCGGCATCGGCCGCGAATTCAGGCCACCTGGCCAAGAGGGGCCCTTCTCGGCTGGAGGCTCAAAAATGCAACAAGAAGCTGAGGGTGTCCTGTGGCCACAAAAACCGACAGGTCCCATCCAAATGCAAAAGCATAGGGGGCGTTGACGTCAACATCTTCACGGCCTGGAAGGTGAGATTAAACACAAAACCAAAGCTCTCCGTTTGGAGGCATAGCTGCTTGTTTCTAGGAGCCGGAAGCCATTTTTCCCGAAGCAGAAACCATCCCATTGGACCATTGGACCGGATGTGACACACTCCTTGCTCTCTGAAACGCTTCCGCATCACGGCATGACCTCTTGCCAAACCCTAAGGCAACTCACACGTGCCGCCTTAACTTCGAACCACTGCCCTTCCCAATCACGCGACTCAGCCACGCGCCTAGCAGCACTTCCACCCACTGTGCCACAGTCTCAGGCCAACCATAGAAGCTCTGGTTCTTTCCTCGCAGAAAGGCAGTCCATAAGGACAAAACAAAAAATAACTCCTTCTGAAGTGGCACTCAAACCTACAACACAGTCAATCCACCATTCCAATTCATGCTCCGCGGACAGTGCCGCGCATCAGCAATTGCAGGCCTGCTGCGGCACAACTCCCCAACACGGACCTTTTCAAAATCGAGCCATCAGAGCGCCTGCCTAAAACCCTTTGGGACGGATTTTAGGTGCGGCTCAGGCACGGGACTCATTGAAGCTGCTTGTGCCCTTCATTGCGTTGGACGGCGTGAGGCTGATGATCTCCTGCGAGCAGCTCCCGGCCATTCAGGCGGACAGGGGGAAGAATGCAACGACGACGACGTCGACGAGGGCAACAAACGACGACCACGTCTGTAGAGAAACTGTGGTTGCATTTCAAATCCCGGATTCTCAGGACTCGCCCACGTGCTCAGTGTTGCCAAATGCCAAGGGGCTGGTGGCCATAGTCACAAGAAGAAGAAAAAAAACTGTGGGGGTGACTTGGAAGCCCGTCACACAACAGGCTGCATCCCTTGACCAACTAGTCGATGCCAGCTACCGCGAGTGGTTGCTTTGACCCATGTTACGAAGCCTGTTGAGCAAGCAATGAGCCCTACGTGCTCAAAGTATCGCGCCTGCGAATGCTGAAATCCAACTGTCCCAAACCCCATCCCATGTTTGCGTCGCAGTGCTCAGGGCTCGCCTCGCTGACTGCATGGAACGCAGCGTCCCCAGTTTCAAATGCAGCAAGTAGCCATAATATTCAGCAAAACGCAAGGCCTCCCATACTATGCAAACATGTGATCCAACAGAAGCCGCAAAAGAATGAATACAGTGAACATGTGTGGACCCGTTGTTGGGCTGTCCATGTGCGAGTCAAAAAAAAATGCATTTGCAGGTGGGCCACGTCTTGATCAGGCTGTGGCTCTGAAATTTGGGCGACCCCTTGAGTCTCAAAGAAATGTCCAGCCAAATTCAAGACATCCCGGCGTGGCAAGCTGAGCCAACAGTCTTGTAGCCTTGCCTCGCTGACATCGCCCGCTTTGGGGACTCGCAACTCCCGAACTGGGAGAAGATAAGCTCAGCTGGAGATGTTCTTCACAAGAGACAGAATCAGCTTGTTCACAACCTCAGATGGGTCAGAACTTGAATCCATTGCCCAAACCGGGCCTCCGCTGCCATTCAAGGAGCTCCTGTTTCTCGTCAGTTGGCTTCCTTGCAGTTTACACGATATACTGCAAAAAACAAACACCTTGGCACAAATCCACTTGGATCTGTTGGCCGGAAGCAAGGAGAGCTAAAACGCGGCCCAGCCACATCTGGAGCCTCGTCGTGGGGGCAATGGCCCACCCCGGGAAACCTCGTCGCGAAAATCCCCCGAAGATCTGCTGTTTGGAGGGGTCACTGTCCACCTTGAAAAAGGCCCCCCAGCTTTTGTCAATTGATTCCCATTCTGGTCATCGCTCAAGAAACGCATTCTGCACGTCCTATATTTGCCGGAGTGCCTTTTTTTGCCCACCTGACCCTCCAAGAATGAGGAACCATCGTCTTGCACTTGTCAATCCAACGATGACAACCTGGACTGTGCTCCTGCCTGCTTGACCCCCCTCATAGCACTAGGTGGACGAAGCGAACATCAGGAGGCGTTCTCGAGGGACACATCTCAAGATCTGACGTGCAGTACTTATTTTACGACCAAACAAGCTAGTCATTTCTTGGGAGGAATTCTTCTAGTGCCTTTGCGAGAATGGCGTAGTGCGGAGAAAAAAAGAGAAAAAAAAGAAAAAAGCTGGACGGGCGGCTCCACCAGTTTCTTCACCGCCTCGAACTCGTCCAGGGCCGATACGCGCTGCAAGGGCGTCCAGGGATCCCGCTCACCCCAGCACACCTAAGTCCATCAACCAGTCGCCGCAAGAACCTAATATTTGCTCACCGGACCCAGGGTGATGCTGCCAGATTGTTTGGAAGCCCTCGCCAAGCCGCGGGAGAGTAGCCTTGTTAAAATAGCTGCTACTGCATTGCAGTCAGGTGGATTGACACTTAGGATTCACGTGGATCAGGCAAGCAGGGTGTGGCAAATATTGCTCAAAAATCATGTTGGTAGCAGTCAGGGAATCACTCTCAACTGTTTTCTGGCTACAAAGGATCTGTTATACAGAACTTTGTGACATGGTCGTGACCCGCGAGATTTCAACCAAATGACAACAGCATTGGGACAAGGCTACTCCCCAAGAGGCCTGACCTGCACCATTTGAGTGAAAAGCACTGCCCAAAGGGGTGAGGGTGACCAACGGAACGTGAGCTCAGGGACATGATGTCGCCCAGAAACGCATCCTGTTGACTCCCCTATTGACTGCTTGCGGCGCTGCAAGCGGTCACAAAGGGCCCGCCGCGCTCCTCTCGCATCCCGGATTCAAGCCGAGATTGAATGGCAGCGGAGACTTGCATTTGTTTTCGTGGGGCCGGATCAGTTTCTTTGAGTGCAGTCCCTGCGCAACAAACTGGTTGATTCATCCCGGATGGCATTTCTCTACCGGCTGTGTCGAGTGTTCTGAGGCCCCCACCCACACCGGAGTCTCTGGGCGCATGTCCTGGGACCAAAATGACAGCTGACATACTCAACACAGCCTGCAGCCTTTCAATTGTTGAAATAAAGCTGAAGATCATGCTTCCGTTCGACCCTTACAGGCGGGTATCAGCGTGTTGGGCTTTGAGCAGTTGCAAGCTGAAGGCGTTTGTCCCAGAAGGATGTCTCCAAAGCCCGGGCACTCCTGCAGGAGCTGCTCCAACAGTGGGCCGGTGGAGTAGGAGAGGATATCCTGCCCAGCTGATGGACCCCAGTTGAAGGTGACCACTGCCAGAGCTACCTAACAGCGAAACCCATGAGCCTCAGCTGCCCGCTGGCACCCAGTCAAATCGGATTGTCCCAGCGTCACTGGGGCACCACCCCACCAAACTGTCCAGGGTCGACTCGAGAGCGCCCTTCAGCAGGAGCGGGCTGCGCAGAACCTCCACCAGCTCCGGTGTTACCTCGGGCTCCAGCTTCGGACAAAAAAAAAAAAAACGAAAAAACAAAGAGTCTTCCTCTCTGGGTCTAAGTTCTTGCTGAATCATGCAAGTGTGCAGGGTGCACGTGGGCTGATGCCCAGGCATCTTTCAGCCTGACAAGCTTTTGTGATGAGCATGTCATCAATGACCCCTCATTCGTGCGGAAACGTGTACTGTAGTACAGCGTGCATCCATGAGTCGGAACTGTGTTTATATGGTCAACTAATCAGTCAGGAACTCTGGCGACTCCATCCTCTTGAGTCAACGAACAAAATGATGCAGTCCACCTTTGATGTGGCAAAACCACCAGCCCAACCGGCCACAAGCCACAGGGCCTGAGAGGAGTCGTAGTAGGGCTCCTTCAGGATCTCAGTCACCGCCGCCTCCGTGCTCAGCGCATTGAAGAGCCACCCACCCACCTCAAGGCCCGCAAGTTTCGTGATTCCAGGCCTCTTCTCAGAGCTAAACCAGTCAGCGTAATCAGTCTCTGTTGTTTGTTCCAAGGATTTGGGGAGCCAACAAAACCACTCTGCCTGGGCCCACCATGGCCCAGGATGGAAGTTTTCAAATCCAGGGCTTGTTAGCGAGAGCATTGGGACAAATACGTGCACTGTATTACACCAGCTCAAATCAAGAACATCAATCATCAAATAAGTTAAGATCCGATATATCCTTGACAACTGCAACGGTTTGAAAAGAACTGTCGGCGCAAAAACACCCTTTGCAACGCGTCTTGGGTCTTCAGTTGAGACCTCCCCTGAGAAGCTAAAAGTTCGGTCGCTACTGTAGAGGATGACCAGAAAGTACATCCGAAATCTGTCGATAACACAAAATACACCCTTGTCATCTGAAATGAACACTTGTTGAAACCAGGTATGACAGTCATAAGGTCGCTCATGGCGAAGGCCTCACCAGCCATTCACTGGGCACGGCGAACAAATCAACAACCTTGGAAATATTACGCTGCCATCAACTGCCGGTGGGCATCTTTTACCCAGCAATCAAGTAAAGACTTCTCCCTCACTTCCAGTGGCGGCCTTGGTCTCGCACCACGGCGCGCCAATGCCCGGGATTCATAGCCGAGCCGCTGGGGTCTCGCGCAGCACCCTCTGCACCCACGATATCACAGGCCTGCAAGGCCATCAGCTGCATGTTTTTTTGTGGTCGGCGCAAGCGGCGGAGGAAAAAGACAAAGGCGCCCGGCAATCTAAAAACTTCACACAGCAAAACTTTTTGTTCTGGTCCTTCATGAGGCCCATGTGTTGTTTGATCCATCCACATACATTATGTATGTATATGCGTGTACGTGTGTATGTATGTATGTATGTATGTATGTATGTATGTATGTATGTATGTATGTATGTGTATGTAAATCCCCCCCCCCCCCCCCGAGATCCACGTCAGCTTGCCAAAGCCCAAAAGCCGGAAAACCCGTGTTTTGGAGCGGTTCATACGCGCTTCAGAATCTGGCGACAGATTTGGTTGCACTGTTGGTGGATGGTTTTAACAGGCGCAAATGATTTGGTTGCAGAAGGGAACAGCTTCCCAAATAGAAAAAAAACTGAGTGCGTCATGCCTTTCACCACGAGTTTTGTCACATGTCTTGTCCCCGGGTCTTTTAGAAGTGTCTCAGGCCGGGTCTCCTGTAACGTCTCTGATCGCGTTGTTCTGATCCAACAGACATGAACATCACCCTGAACCAAAGGACGACGCGCGCCAGTGTCATTTGCGATCCACACGGCGCGCTCGCAACACGCCAAGGGCATTTCGCGTGGTATTTGCAAGGAACGCTAACTCTGCCTTGGCGGAGTCTGGAGCCTTCAGAGTCGCAAAGTCTTGCAAATACCCCGCCAAACACACTTCCGCGGACCTGGGAGACAGTGGTAAACTCATGGTAACACTAGACAACCACTGGCGGGCAGAAATGAATCGTGCCAAGAGGCCTGTTGGGGTCTCAATCCTTTCCGAGCCGGCAACACCTGTTGTGCGATTCATCAACAGCCCAAGACCAGTGTCTGAGGCATGAAGTCGGGAAGCCGCATGTCCCTCTGCGCAACCTAACTTGGTCAGCACACTGCACAAGTCTCCTTCGACATCCTGCGCGTAAGAACGCGTAGTGCAAAAAAGAAAAAAGAAAGGGGTCTTGAAATGAGGAGCTGAAAAACCTTAATGCTTGCGTGTTCTTCCAGATCCCCGTATTTTGTGACATCAACGCATGCTCATCTCCACCCCTGCCCGACTGCCCCTGCCTGGCTACAGCGGGAGCCTGCCCGCATGCCGCCCCCAAAAACGCACCACGTTTCGGCACGTCGAAGCTCTAAACTTGGCAAGTAGGAAGCAAGGGAAACGTACTCGCAAATGTTCCATGGTTTCCAGTTGGACGTTGCTTCACTTCCAATGCTTAGGGAATCCTCCACAAGCTGCACACCAACTTGTTTCGAGTGCGAGCAAGCATGCAGCCAAGCTGGGAACTCGCAAACCCAGATTCGTTTAAATGTCTTCAAAATCAAAAAGAGGACCCCTTACCTGCAAAGTCTCCTTGCAGCCCCAGATCACCCAGTTCCCGTTTTGAGGAGCCCAGTGCAAATAATCCCGCACATCCGCGCCCAAAAGCGTGGCCAGCAAACCAGCCTTGCCGAACGAATGCTCGAGATGTTCCAACGATCTAGCGAAGCCTCCCAGTGGCAAAAAAAAGTTTAATCAGCTACTCACCCGAAAAGGGGATTGTGCCATCTACTTTCACCCGGCTGTGACAGCAAGCGGTTGGCATCGCCTCCGACACGTGCTCCTGGCGGAACCGGGGGTTCACCAAGAGCAGCCCCCGCACCACATCAGGCGAGTCGATGGCAGCTTGCAGACCTCAGCGTGACACCAGCTGCCCCCAGTTCGTCTGAATGAGCAATCCGTTCCCTTCAAACGTCGCTCGAGCAACATGTGATGCTGCAAAAGTGAACGACAATCCACAAGTTTCCCTGAAGGCAAGCTCAACTTGTGCTCCAGGACGGACAGAACCCGTCAAACTAGTAAGAGCCAGCTCCCTTTCAGCTGAAGACATCTTGCATGCTTTTCCAGCTTGAGGAAAACAAAGGCACAAACACCGATCAGATGTTGGCATTCCTGAAGATGTTCATGGTAAGCTATCACATTGAAGCTGGCTGGGCCCGCTGGCCATGTAGGCCCTCATTGGAAAGGGGATGCTGAACATACTTAACAAAACAATCACGCAGACTAGTTGAGACCAGCGACTCACAAGGCTGCCCAGGGAGTTCCCAACCCTGAGCGTGAGGTGGTACTGTTGCGGACAAATGGGGAAAAACGGTTTGTGTATCCTGTTCTCCCGCGGATGCCTTCTCTTGGGTGCGCTGAGACGCCGGGTCAACATCATGACTCACCCGCATGCTCAATGAACAAACCTCGTGGACAGAAGAGTATTGCCTCTGCCTCCAATCTTGTTCAGGTCTGAAAGGGTCTCTTCTGGAAGGGAAACAAGCATAACGTGTCAACCCCTGCAAGTGGGCCAGAGTAAACCCTGTCCCTCTTTCACTCGGGATTGCTCAGCACCTTTACAGAGCCAAAGCCAGTCCCAGAAAGGCTATGCAACCAGCTCGTGTGACCATGGCACATATGCCATATTCTACATCCCCGTTCTGGGTTTTGCAAATTACAAACATCCTGTTTGTGGACCGCCGGGCCTGGCGGAAACAACGTCAGTTGTCTTGACAGTATTTTGCTGTGGAGGAAACGCTGGTGTATCATTTCCTGATGCGCGGCTGGCCCTTAGGCATGCACAACCTTCCGAATCTTGACAACTATTGGCAGCGCCTGCTTTCGCGCCGCACTTGTCAACGACCCATAACCAGCATCTGTCCTCTGGCCTTTTGGGCCCCTCAATTGATCGGCTTGCTTTTGAAAGAAAAAAGGTGTCCACTGTTGCATCATAACAGACTGGACTGCGGTGGCAAGGCACAAGAAGACGTCCGACTTGACCATCTCTTTGATAAAGTCAGACACTTGCTCACTCCAGGTGAAGATGTTATACCTCAGGCTGCTTGAACGCAAAAAAGAAATCTGGCAAGGCACCGGCGCCAAAACACGCAGACATGCATGCCTCTCAACGCCCGGCGAGGCGCACGGAGCCCAAGGGATGGCGCTGGGGCACCTCAGTTCGGCTGGCATCTGTGCATGCTGTTGGAGCAAAGCAGAAAACAGATTTGGGCAAGGCATGACAAAGTATTCTTACCTGTGTATATTTGTTTATGTGGTATTGCCACATACCGATTTTACGGATCTAGCTACCGTAGTGATGGAATGCCAAATCCCTGGTTACTGCCTTTCAATCATTGTTTTTGAATGCAATGCAATGCAATGTAATGAAATGTAATGGAATGTATGGTGTGAATGTATATAGACAGCTATATGTTGATTGCGTACCTTGCGGCAGCATTTGCGGCGCACTCTCTTACACTCAGCTTCTGTCTGAGCAGGCTGACAAGAAACGCTTTCAAGGAAGCGCGAAGGATTCCGGTAGCAGCGCCCCTCTGCGCAGTAAGATTGAAACAACAGTCTCCCTAGACAGATTCCAGCCGGCTGTACAAGTTATGGGGCCCTTGCGGGGTTGAGGCTTGCCTTAGCGGAGCTCTCGGAGTGTTTGCGCAATGTGTATAATTCGGAAAAAAGCTAAAGCGTACATGCAACTGCCATTTGTTTATATAGGAACACTAACACTTTACTGCAATATCCTTCTTGCTGACTGCAGTCATCATATGTGAAAGACAAATGATGGGCAACACCAAGCCAAACCCAAACCGCATCCAAGCCACTGTTGCGAGGCTTTTGCTGCGGACCCTTTGTCGCAAAGTGTTGTGACAAGTGCAGCCAAACCTCCGCAGCCTGCATGTTACCTCTGGGTCGGCCTTCAATCAAGCCTCTTCATAAGAGTTGTTGCCGCTGCAAACTATCCAAGACTGATACAAAACCTGCGTAAACGCCAGCTGCCAGCTGCCCATTCAAAAGGCAAGGCACAGTCACTTTCTGCCGAACACCTGGCAGGCACAGCATGTGATGCGGGTGCTCCTGTCCCTTTTTCCCAGCGACCGCCTAGACTTGATTCCTGCTGAGATGGAAACTTGGCGGGCAACCTCTATCTACAGATGGAAATAGGCGACAATACCCCACGTCATTCCTGTTGGCTTGTACCATCCGTCAAGAGCCAGTGCAAAGGATGGCTCGGTGCAGCAAGGCGGGAAACCAAACAACTTGGTTCCTGTCAGCCCGTTTGGAACCAAAAGCCCGGCCGCTTTAGCCAGTTGTAAAACTCGCCGAAACTCCCTGTGCTCCCCTCAAATGGCCAGCCTCGGGTTTTGTTTCTTAATCTCCACCAATCCAAAGCAAGGTGCTCTGCGGACGCCTTTGCTCCCCCATTGCAAGAAAAGCCCGATTGACGATTCAACCATTCATCTCCGCCCCGAACAGCAACATCACAAAAATGCAACACCCAAAAATGTTTCGAGCATCCAATATCCCATCAGAACTTCAACACCGGGCTCACCTCAAACGGTGCCACAGAACTCAGCCGTCGGCCTCTGGATATCACCAGCTCCGTGTCCACGTCCCGCAGCTCCCGGCCCCGCTCGCCGCTGATCTCCGCCGCCTTTTCCTCAAGGAAAAACAGCGTCGGGCGGACCAAAAAATCTTCGCCGGAGGTTTACAAACAAAAGATGAATCTAAAAATCGGGTCCTATTCCTGACATGTGGTTGAACAGGATTTGCAAGGGACCTGGGAGGGCCTCGAAAGTTAAAGGCTGGGTCAGCTGTTGACATTGCTATGTTGGGGCTTCAGCAGGATTTAGATGAGGCACTTCTCGGATTCACCGGCTGATTCTCGAAAACGAGCTGCATGCCATGCCTCTCTCGACCGAGGCGCGGAGCCCGGCTCAAGCCGGTCGGTATACCCGTTTCCCAGCAGGTCCAGTGCATAGACTCGCAGACCCGCCTGGCCACAGTGACTGAAAATGAGACGCAGGTGCAAGCTTCCTGGGAATTGCGAAGCAAAACAACTGGCCATCTTCTGCTCTCAGCTTTTTGAAGACACAACAAACCTGGCGCCAGCGAGCAATCTCGCAGAGCCTAGTACCGTCCAAGTAGGTCCCGGTTCGAGGAACAATTGCGCCCAGCCAAAACTCGCACGCGCCGACCTGTACGGCAATGTACCAAAACAAAGACAGCTTGGTTTTGCTAAGCACAACACGTCCACTCTCAAGAACACAGCTAGTGGGCCTTCAGCATAAAAAGCTGGCATGAATGCTGGAGCGAGACCACAGGACGCGCCTCTGCCAGCGCGGGCAAGTTTTTCCGCCAGTGATCAGCCTGGCTGGCCAGGCTGATACTTGGGCCACTCTGCATTGAGCGCGTGTGTACAACTCTCACCGGGCAGTGGCCGAGATCCAAAAACTGTCCAAGCACCTGTTGCTGCTCCCAAAGCGTTGTGTCCTGATAAGCAATACAGGCTATGAAGTGACTCAAGTCACTTTCATACAAACATTCCTAGCTGCACCAGAGGAGCATTGCTTATCATTTCGGCTCCTTTCCAAGCAATGACCACCCCCCCACCCCGCCGGAGAAACTTGCAAACCAAGGGGCATTCACCAGCAGGCCATGAATCAGCACAACGCTCGGCCCCGTGTTCTCCTCTCCGAGCACTTGATAGCGCACCTCACAGTGTGCCGATTCTGACTGCAGGCAGGTTCTCCACAGATTGCTCGAGAAGTCTCACGCTCTACTCAAGGCACATGCACCGCTCCCAGCTGGAGTTGTACAAGAGGGGGTGCAACCCAACAAACACCAAAGCCTGTACCACAAGCCATCCAGCATCACTCCGCTTGAAGTTGACTGTTCAACGTCCAGAGCTTCCTTCTCTCAGCCAGCAAGCCATTCCACAAAAGAGGATCGACAAAACAAGGTGTCAAATTTCGGCATTTAAGAGTTCCCTGGAATCCCTGGAATCTGAAGACTGCAAGCCCATAGTTTCTCGTTCTTACCTTGCAAGCTTGAAGGGACACCTTTCTGGCACTCATGCTAGGGCGATGACCACGTAAAACTCAATCCCCGCACGAATGAAAGGGGCGGTGAGCTTTAAACTGTTTGTCGATAAACAGCAATGCAAGAATCGAAGTGTTACATGAGTCCTGACCACTTTGCAACCTCATCGGACGTGCTTGGTTGGATGGACAGTACTTTGTTGAATTGACAGCATGTGCCCCTTCGCCATTCGCTGATACCCGGCCATGAAGACACTTGATACCCCGAAATCAGAAGTTCATATAGTTCATTGACTCAGTGGTTCCAGTAGAAGCAAACGCCACTTGGGGAGAACAGCGGGGATGGAAAAAACCAGGATTAACAAAAGAAAAAAAGACGTAAAGACACTGAAAGGCCCGCGAGTCCCGTGGCGCGCCTGGCAGCCCCGCCAGGTCCAAGCTCGGTTCTGGATGCCGACCTGAGGGCTTTTTCCAGAGGCACGTCGAAAGAAATCCGAACGAGGTGAGCTTTGCACTTCGTCTGGTGGTACTTCCCCTTCAAGTCGATGGCTAACTGCGAGACGTCATGAATGCCACGCAAACCTGCCGAACTCTTCGTGGAAAACATTGGCCAAGACAATAGGACACCACAGGCCCTCCTCCTACACATAATGCCTCTGAAACAAATGCAAAAAAAACACATGCACGTACTCAATCAAAAAAAATGAGGCCAAAAACCACCATCTTGTTTTTTTGGACCCACCTATGCTCGCCCATCGGCCATCGGCTCTTCGGCGCGCTCCCCTCTCAGCTCCTCGCAGGATTCGTGGGTGGAATCCTGGGCCGGTTCAGGAAGGCGTCTCGCAGGCCCACGGCAAACCTCGGGGAAGGGGCCGAACGACACGCCCAGCTGCGCGTAGAAAAACTCGGAAAGCTGAACTGTTGCCTTAGCTACGACGGATTATCGTAAAGCACCGTGTGACTTAAGGCCAAATTGTTGTAGATGGTCCAGCCAGGGACCCAACTCCAAGACGGTGCACCTTCCGACCAACAACATGCAGACCAACACCAACATCATCCTGGATCTTCTCGTTCGTGATCTGTCCAGGAACAACAATTGCATGTAACATAGCCTCAGGATGCCCCACTACGACTCTTCATTACTCAGAATCATGCATGCTGAGGCTTGTACCGTGCGGTACAACCATACAACTTCACTGCATGGCCACGAACCACAACGATTATTGCATTGTTGTCAGACGACCATGTTAAGTAGAACTTCTTTTGAGATACAACCATCCACGTCACCCACCCGCCATTACATCTCCCACCGACTCACTCACTCACTCACACTCACACTTTCACTCTGCTTCTCACTCTGACACTCACTCACTCACACTGCTGCTCAGTCACTCAGTCACTCACTCTCACACTTAGTCGCTCATTCACTCACTCGCCCACTTCCTTTGCTGGCTTGCTGACTAACTCAACCCACCAACTTACCCACGCACTTAGTCACTAACTAACTCCCCCACACACTGTGGTTTGCTGACTCACTCTCTCATTCTCTCACCAACTCTCACACACACACTTTCTCTGCTTCACTCTTGCTCCCTCTCTTTCTGGCTTTCACACTTTCACACTCACCCACTCTCACTCCCTTTTCGATGGTTTCAACGTAAACAATCAGATCTTCATGAGATCGGACCCATGCCTCTGGCAGTGGGATCCACGTGCCATCTGTGCCCTGAAAACTCTGCCTGTAATCGTGAAACTCCCGTTACCGGAGCTCTGGCTGCATTCGTTGCCAGAACACGATCTCTTGGTTGAAGAAACATGATTGTTCATGACAAACCGAGCCATAGGAGCCTCGCCCAGGAAGCTCTTGATGCTTCCCGATGCATTCGCACGTGTTTTGGCCGGCCACATTGGACGTTCTTATTGGAGTCATAGCCAGTCTGAAGACGATGGTGCAACATTGAAAGGTTTGGGCCAACATGTGCCTTACTTGTCTTGATGGGGTGGAGCTGACCTGTGAGGGCTGGCCTGGGTCTATCAATCCCACCAAGAATTCTCGGAGATTACTAGTATCCTTGCGGTCCAGCTGCAACAAAGATGGTATTGCAGTTTGCTTCACATCTGATAGCTCGATTTCCACCTATGAGCAACTGGCATAACTCTGGAAAAAGCAATCCGCAGCCAGGCTTCTGTTTTTATCTGAGAAGGCCCTGAGAACAGTGGTCACAACCTTGACAGGCTCTGGAGATCTTCGGCTTCTTTGCGCCAACCGCCCCTGATACGCAACCTGCGCAAGCCCCTTCCCCCCCCGGCCCATGTCCTTGCGGCCACAGCACGCAACTGCCAGCCAGGCCAGGCTCCGTCCCGTGCGTGCCATGCCACGCATCAAACTCTCCGCATCCCTCTCGCTGTCGTTAGACCTGCTAGGAGTGTTCGAAGAAGGCAGCAGGATTGAATATGTGTACAAGCAGTGAAAGGTCCCCAAAGGCAAGCAGTTGGCGGTTCGGCTACTACCTTAAGTTCATGCAAAATATGTGTGCAGGTGGGTGTGTATATATATATATATATATATATATACATATATATATACAGTATGCATCAAGGCAAGTGCATGTAAGCATATCATGTTTTATTCTTGATATGATGTTGTGCGTGTCCGCATATGTGTGTGTGTGTGTGGCTAGCGAGGTGTTACATACCCACGCGGGGGTGCTGCTGGCTTTGCGATGTTTTCCTGGATGTTCCCCAGCAAGGATTCAACTCCGTCAAATTCCCAAAGGCCGAGCCGAAGGCGAAGCCATCAATCCGATGCAGTGAGCACAAGTCGACACTGGGTGCACAACTCCAAACACCCAACCGATGGTCGACACGTCCCCCTTCCTGAGCGCATGCCATGCGCATCCGTAAACCGGTTGCAATAATGCCTCTCCTGAAGGCCTACAACGATGATGTCCGCGGCGCCAAGTTGGGCGACCTGGGCAAGCTCGCTCGCACGCACGCACTATCCCCGAAGGAAATGGCTTTCATGGCTTCCCAGTTATTCACACTGTTCTGCGCGCCTTTGTCGAGTGTCATCAATCACGTTTCAGTCAATTCCTCCGATATCAACAACATCTTAGGTACTTTCATTGACTCGATTGTACTGTCCCAAGCACCGATCCCAAAGCACCGGCCGTGTGCTGAGCAACCCGGGCGGCTGCCTGCAGCACGTCTGCCACGGCTGCCTGGGCCGCCTGCAAGACATGGGGGCGCAGCTTTCCAAGGGAACAACGAACGAACGAAAGCCGCGCAGGGTTCTCAGCTTTGTCTTTCCTTTCACAGGACAGTGGTCGGGGCGTCCTTTGAGCACCACACCGCTTTGCACGCATAACATGCAAAATGTCATGATTCTTGCTGCGCGGCGAGTAGCACATCCAACTGATAGGTGCAATTAGCACCCATATGGACATTTACCCCGGAAATGGGTGGGCCACAATTAGAGTCCATGTGCAAACTGATTGCTACTTGCCATGCATGGCCACAGGAAATGCTTTCGCAAATGCCTACCCTGCCTGGAGCCTTGCCAGGTCTGCAGTTTGCCAGACTTGCTTGGGCAGTGGATTGGAAAGCCTTGCACCAACCATCCAGCCAAAGAAATCATTTAATCAGTCAACCAAAAACCCACCAACCGACCGAACGACCCACCAACCAGCCAGCCAGCCAACCCACCTACCCACCCACCCTCACCCACCAATCCACCCACCCACCCACCCACCCAACCAACCAACCAACCATCCAACCAACCACCCAACCAACCAACCACCCAACCACCCAACCACCCAACCAACCAACCAACCAACCAACCAACCAACCACCCAACCAACCAACCAACCAACCAACCAACCAACCAACCAACCAACCAACCAACCAACCAACCAACCAACCAGCCAGCCAACCAACCAACCAACCAACCAACTCACACAAAACGGCAAACAAACAACAAATCAACAAAACAACACACGCCTAGCTACTTCATATGCTACAAGAGGCCAAGGCGGGGAACGCAGGAACTGGTGCAAAACGGCGCGGTCTTCCTCTTGCAACTCTCTGCGGATCGGCCCATTTCGAGACCCGGGCCTCTTCCAAGCCTGCACCTTGGTCCTTGCGGTGGTCGCTGATGCCACCCACGTTCCAGGATAGGAGGCCAATCTGCAGCTTCAGAAAGGCCGAACTAGAAATCCGCTCCACACGAGCTTCCAGAAAGCGACTTGTGAAGCACATCAGAATGCAATCAACTTCACACGCACGCGCGCGCGCGCGCGTAAGCAAACAGCACCAGGAAAGATCGGCAAAGCCGCCCCACACTTCTGTTCCAAGCAAGATCCGGTGCTCTGTTCTGAGGTCGCCACCCGTGCCACTTTTCGATTGCAGACTCCCGACTGAGCACAGCTGTGGCAAACAGTTTGGCTCGGAAAGCAACCCAAAACTATGATCCTAGCAATCCGAAACACGAATCTCAACGCGAAAACATGCGCCCAAGACAGAATTTCCCTCCGTGGCCCTCATCATCCCACCACTGGGGCCGAACGATCCCTGAGCGCAGCACTCTCGCACCCGAGGATGTGCTCGCAACCCCGTCCTTCATGACGCGGCTAATGACCTGCATTAGGCGAATGGGAATGGGCTGTAGGCCGATTGAGCGACCAACTGACCGACCAAGTGAACCTGCCAGACTCGAGCAAGATACTCTGGGAGAAGCAAAGAGCAAGACAAACAAAACAGCCTCTCTGACCTTACAGCCTGCAACCTCAGTGCTCCGATCAGCTCGATGACTCCATGCCCAAGCAAAAACTAGCGTGATCCTACCCACAACCGGCACACAGCCTCAACACTTGAGAAACATGCACATGGTGCCAGCCAACGAAAGCTTCCTTCTGGAGGATGGCCAAAAGGCTACCAAACGGATTCGGTAAAGTGATGCTGTAAGTGACCCTCTCAGCACCAACAAATGGCCAGCAAATGCCCTGCGCCTCGTGCTGCTCTTGCCGGCCGAGGGCGGTGAAGTGATCCAGGTACCGGTCCAGTGGAATCCCTTCCACCTTGCGGATGCACGCTAGCTCGGGGGTCCATTAGAGCGGAATCAAACAAAAAGGGCCGTCTCAACAACATGCACAAGCGATCGAGAATGCTTGAGGCGATGGTGGCGGTACTGGCGTGCAGAAGAGCGTCCAAAGTCGGAAACATGCACGCGCCAGAAACGCGTGGTCAGCTCTTGTCCTTCAGCCCTTGAATCCGCATGTGCCAAGGGCCAAGAGTCAGATCATTCCCTGTACACCACTCCCCTTGATTGACCTATCTGCACGCATGATTCATCTCCGTGGCATCCTCCCACCTGCCTCCAGGCCATGACAGTAGAGGCCGCAGTGCCACGACACCTGCAAACAGTGCCACGACACCTGCGAACCGTGCCAAAACTAAGTACCCGATGCCTTCAAACAGATGCATACATTTTAAATATATATATATATATGGTAACCCCCATGTAAAATGCACTTTCCAGCTGCTACAAAGATGATTTAAAAATGCACTTCTGTTGTAGACTTAAATGATAGCATCAGTACTTACTGCAATCCAGGATGTGTGCTAGCATGCGCTAGCACATCCCGGATTGCCCCAAGAACAGATTTGAAGAATCCCAGAACACGCTGTGGATGTGTGAGCAGATCCTGCTCTGCCCAAGTATGGATGTGAAGAACCCAAAAAGGCAGACAAGGAGCGCGCATTCCAAGAGTCAAATTGTGGATGCGCACCGCCTGCATTTTGGCGGGGGGAAACATGTGTTTGAAAGCTTTACAGTTTTTGGGGACTTGAGGGATGGACGATTCACAAAAAAGAACTGGGAGATCTTCAATCTTCAATGCCGGTGGGAAAACCCTTCAAGAGTCTAGACAAAACTGTCAAGTCTGAGGATGTTCTAAAACGATTGATGTGGACTCTTGAATAGTCGCCAGTCCAGGGCAACATCTGAGCGAATGCTGAAAACACCACGATTTACAGTATGTTCTGCCAGGAATCAGGTCTAAACCACGTATTTCCTATTGACTTGGCTCAGTTCTTGCTTGGTTAAAGCCACATGGAGTTAGATAAAGGCAATAGCCCGGATTGAAATGAGCTTGATTCCAGTTTTAACTGGCCATGAAATAGCTGTGTTCTCCAGCTGGTTGAGAAAATTACACAAGAAACTGCAACCGGTGAAAGTTGAATTGTTTTTGTTTTGTTTTTTTTTTTGTTTTTTACCTCGAAGTCGTTTTAGCTTGGATATCCTTCCTAAGTTTGAATGTCACTAGTTCTTATTGACAATGATTGAATAGTATTAGACAAATAACACGCAACTGAGATAGCTTCTTTGCAATTTTGACATAAATACACTTAGTTAGGATGTATATGGAATTAATTCCGAAAATCTGAATTAACATGTAAATGCAACTGCGCCAGGGGTTGAATTCCTTTCCCCCAAGTGGATGATTTGCTGAATGTCCTTGTCAAACAAAAGAATAAAACCACATAACAGAGCTGCTACAGGCACGAAAAAGCTGCCAAAGCATACTTGTGCACCACTCTTGTGCTGAAAAGTTGTGCTTTTTGAGCGCCGAAGTGGACTTCGCATACTTCAACGTGACTTTAAGTGCACTTCGCGCACGCCAAAGTGACTTTTGTGCTGTTGAACTAGGAACTACGTTTCAATGTTGGGCTTAACTTCTGCTTGGTTTGACTTGCATGGAGTTGGACTTGCATGGAGTTGCACGTCCTGTCAATTCAGTTCCAGAGGCCCCCCAGTCTGGCCAAATACCTAAGTTCTGGCCAAAAATCTGAGTATTTCAAGGGGGGCTAGCATATAATATATATATATATATAGACATATGTCCATATATGACAACACATTATATACATGTTGCCGTACGTGGCTGGCCAAGGGCATGGTTCCCCTACTTGAGTAGTACACCCGGAAAGTTAGATTCCGTGAAAGACACATTCCAAATTCATATTAGTCATCAGGAAGCCCTTCAATCAAATGGCAAAGCGATGTTGAATACAGAAAAAGCGCCTTACAAGCCAGTAGGAAACTTGCTGGTGCATCGCCACACCCGTCCTCAGGGAGTTTTTTGCGAGAACCCGCAGTCGTGCCCGCACCTCAGTGAGGACGCACGGCATGTGGTACTGTAACGGTTCCCTCCACCACAACTTCAGGAAGTATGGGTTCTGCTCACAATACAAAGCAGCACGCAAACGAACCTGTTGTCCAAGAAACTGAAAGCGACATGTAGCTGCATGTTGGCATGTCCTTTTTGATATATTGTGGCCAAATCGCATCATGGCTGACAAGAACTGGACATGTGAAGCCACCAGTCCAGTGCGAATGCTCGACGACAGTCAGCATGCTGCTTTGCCTTTTGCAGGGTACAAAGCGGGTGAAGAGCT